AGGGTATCGTCTTTAGGGCGTCCCCTATCGTTTTACAAGTCAACGGTAGCATTCGCCATCTTCGACAACCGCCTGCTCTACAACCAATATACGATAATTTTGACCTCATCTCAAATACATGTGTGAGATGGTGTCCGTGCCTGCCTGTGTTCGCACGTTGTCTTTCACTGCGAGAAAATTCCGAAGAAGATGGGCACATGTTAAAGTCCTGCTAAGGCTAATGCTTCGGGTTCAGCCCAACACATCAACCGATTCTTTTCCCTAAATCCGCCTTTGACTGTCGAAACCGTTCTGACCGATGCAGCACGGGTTGCACAAGATGCAAGTTGGAACCAATCGACAACATGGCTCGATTCAGCTCTGCTTCCCGTCTGCGGCCACGGCATCCTGGTGAAGCGACTGATGAACTCGACCGGGTGCCCTTGACATTCCCACACACAAATAAGTAATGAGCCTACCGTAAGGACAAAGAACAAACGTCTCACATCATGCTACCTGTTGCCCGGTCCTCCATTGCCATTGTGACTTGAATAATGCAGCCAAGTACTAGCAAGACACCAGCTGCATCCAGAAACCAGTTGGTAGATCTTGTGACCACCTCTGCAAAGCTCTGCAAGAAAGTCGGCCCTCCCAGTACGCCAACGAAGGTGGTCACCTTGGCGCGAAACCGCACTCAAGTTCTGTGCACACGTATATGAGCGCAAGAGCAAGACTGCCTGCCCTGAGATTGGCGCAGAAATGGCGGCACTGGTAAACATGCCTGCAGCACCTTGTTTTCTGCAAGCACATGTAATGACCAGCTCTAACACGATGCCAGAGGCAGGAGGATTGATTCTGCTTGATGCTATCGTTATGAAGTGCAGTACAAGGCTAGAATCACAAATCCATAGAACATTTTATGTTGAGACAAAATAAGAAACAGGCGGGAATTCAGGCATTTCTGAAATATGCGATATAGGATTTCTATGCAAAACCCTGCACAAATCCACATAAACACCGACTTTGGTTTATCTTCGAGACGGCCCTCTTCTTTTCCTGCTATTTCATAGTTTTATCCCCTATCGTGTCTCTCCGAACATGAAGGAAAACAGAACAACAATAAGATTCAGCTTGGATTTCGGTGCGAAGCGCTCGGTTTCGATGAAAGACAGAAGAAGCACTGAACATTATTCATTCTCCGCACAATCCCCCTTTTCTCACTACGATATCCCTGAAAGCATTCTCAATTTCCTCTAAGAATAACTGTTTGACACCAACTCTTCTCAGAGCTATCGACACATGATGCTCGCGGGTGCTTTCAAAGCGATGTGGCTCTACCGGCTACGGTGAACAACCAAGAACCTGTGATGATGTCCAAGCCGGCAAACTTCCTGCGGGCTGATGTCCAACGTGCTTTGCTGCTATAAAACAGCAGAGAAGGATGTACACCCCAATCTATTCTCACACACTGCTTGTAGTGTGGCATGAACAACATGTATGTGTCCTGGTTTTGACGGGTCATACTGTACATTGTGATTCTGCAAGAGCCGAACTTCCGGAGCATTTCTCAGCAACGCCGAGCCAACAACAAAAAGTCCTGCATAAACCAAACAGAGTCACAGATCATTATGCATGTGCAACGAATATCATGAATGAATGTGCCACACAATGCCATGCGTGGGCTTCAATAATTAGTCGCGTGTCTATCAACTGAACTGTATCAAGCCTGGAACTTGAGGCTACTGCGCAAACCACACCACAAATGCGTCCAAAACCGTTTAACAGTCTCCTTGCGCCAAGACTCACTCGAAGCCGTTTCGGATCCAAGTTCTGCTTCGGAGGCCGGAGCACCAGCCACTTTTCCACCTTAGATCAGCGGCCCCATGACTGGGACCAAACACTGGCACGTTTTGCAAGCCGATGAGTTCGCGCGAGTAAGCAGCATGGAGCACTGCGACGCGCTTTCCATTGCAAGTCGCAGTGTCTGCACGGCCCACTCCAAACTCAGGTGAAACACCTGAGTCTGGCTATAGCCTGCGTCGACCCATCTTCACCGATTCACAGAACTGATTTACCCTTTCAGCTCGGCTCAGCCATGACACGTTTAGAAGGCCCCACAAGAATAATGCAGGCCAGTTCTCAGCGCTGACATCATGCCAATAGGCAGAGAAGAGGAATACCACCCACACGCTGAAGAAGCGGTTCTTCCTGAAGCATCAGGTCCAGGCTTCGGGTTTGCTTGGCTGCCATGCAACCATGTGGCCGAACCTACAGGTGAGTCCCATGCCTTATGCAAGCAAGCTTAATTGGCCGCCAAAGATCCTGCCACCAAGGGGAATGTAAATATAATGCACGACCCATCGGTTGAAAGAACAGTGCCACCCTTGCCAAAATCCAGTCAA